CGCAGCCACCGCCGCGACCAGAAGTGGCACGACAAGCAGTATAAGAAGGCGCACCTGGGCACGGCGCTCAAGGCCAACCCCTTTGGCGGCGCCTCGCACGCCAAGGGCATCGTTCTCGAGAAGGTGTAAGTGCAGCCCGGTGCCGCGTGGGTGCTACTGCATAGCCTCAGATAGATGGCCAGCCGGTAACTTAGGGGGTTGGACTACGAGTGCAGCTTAAGAGCTAGTATAAAGTAATACAGTATCTCATGACATTGTAATGGTTATCTGCTAATTATTCCCATAGATTTCTGCTAATGTATTTTCCCATGCTTGCATTTTAGTGGAGTGGAAGCTAAGCAGCCCAATTCTGCCATCAGGAAGTGTGTCAGAGTCCAGCTGATCAAGAATGGCAAAAAAATAACAGCTTTTGTGCCCAATGATGGTTGCCTGAACTTCATTGAGGTGAATAGTTTTCAAAAAACAGCCTTTATAAAGTTGTACATGAAAGTAATGAAACACAGAATTGATGAAATTGAGCAAGATGAGGTTCGCGACATTTTGAATTGTGTGTATCTTAATTCTGTGTCTGCAAAAGCAGATGAAAAAATGCCAGAGGAGTTTTTGTACTTCTCACTAGCTAACTAAGCCACACTCGATAGCTTTGCTGCAATCTGAATGACACTTATTCGGCTTATTCTTCTGCAAAACACTGAAGGGGATAATGTCCTATAACTTACGTGTATCAATCAGATTTAATGTAAGTTAATACGGAAGGGTGCACAAGTCCAGCATCTGCAGCTCTCTAACTACCCTGTCTTTTATTCTAGGAAAACGATGAAGTTCTGGTGGCTGGTTTTGGTCGTAAGGGTCACGCTGTGGGTGATATTCCTGGAGTCCGTTTCAAGGTTGTCAAGGTAGCCAATGTTTCTCTGTTGGCCTTGTACAAGGGCAAGAAGGAGAGACCGAGATCATGAACTGAAATTGAGCTGCCAAGAATATAAATAAAATTTTTGATTGGAAAAACTCTTGTATGTGCTATGTAAGGTGGCTTATGGTGTTTTTTTTTTTTTTTTTTTAGTATTTTAACAAAAACCTTATTTTTGTCTCTTACACCAAAATTTTAAACACTTTAGGGAGGATATTCTTCTCTTAGCATTAGCCCGGCATCTATAGATGAAATATAAATGCTTAACATTTAAAAGAAAATGCAATTTCTGTGAAAGGCAGCAAAACCAGATCTGTTTGTCAGAAAATATTGTGGGTCACTTATTTTAAAGAGAGGCAATGAATTCCAGCTTTGTAAAGTATCACTGAACTCTAGAAAGATCAGTTGATTTTTCTAGAGTAGAGGGTAATGATCCTACTTTAGACACCAGGTAGTTTCTTTTTGTTGGAGAACTATGTTAGTATTTTTTTAAAAACCTGTGGTATTATATATTGCACTCTTTATCTGTTTGGCAGTTGAATATAGATACTGCTTGAGAAATACCTGTATTAACTCTTGAGTAGTGCTACATAATTTGGAACATGATTGCAGACTTTCAGAACAAACAGGTGCCTGGATAGTATAGCTGGAATTTTATCCTGTCATCAGTCACAAAACTTCCTATAGGAACAGAAATGAATTTCTTGCTGCTAGGTCATTTTTGGGGAAGAAAACATCCCTTCAAACAGCAAAGATGGAAGGAGAAGAAATTACATATACCTTTTGAGAACAGCCTGCCTCAGGTTGAAAATGGTCACTGGCAATGTTGAGACTAGCATATATTCAAATGATAATAGCAATTCTAGTTTCTAGTGTTAAGACACGAAACACATGACACACAATTCGTCAGATTTAGGGCTCAAAAGGATTATTAAACAATCTGATCTGTTCTCCTGTCCTACTTGGCCTGCAGAACTTTACCCAGTTGCTTTCATATGAGGTGTAAATTAAAATAGAACAGAATCAAACAGACCGAGAATCTCTACCACTGAATATTTTGTAGTTTAGTCATCAGGGAATCTGCATGATCTGTGTTTAAATCCTTGCTTCAAATCAGGCACAAACTTTGGCTTCCCATATCCTTTTAACTACTGTCAAAATGAATGTGAGTTTGGTTGCGGTTCCTCTTCAACTTCAGAGGGGAACACAGGAAAATATTCCACCTGTGATTCCCAAATTAAGGCTCCCTCTCTGGTAACTTGACTTTAATACCCCTTTAGCTTTCAGGGTGAGGTCTTACCTCTGCGCCTCTGTAGTGAGGTGCATGCTGCTTCTGACAGCCTTTCAGATCAGTGTGCTCATTCTTAAACATCCAAGAGGAAACCAGTCAAGCCATTTGTGTGCATTCCTTAGGGCAGATTTCCAACGGGTGAAATGCAGTTTAAAGATTTCTGCCGGCTTTGTGTTCTGCACTCCTGTCCCAATGCCAAACAACAGGGCAGAGAGGTGGCAGAGTTTGTCTCTGAACCAAGTTTTGCAATTAGGTTTTGCATTAGCAGCAGAGGAGGAAAGCAAGAATAAAGAAGGTAGATGCATTTGGTGCCCTTTTTGGAGAGAAGGGAGGAAAAAGGCAATGTGGTCTTTATAGTGTAGAGAAAAAAGGGGCTGAAACAGCAAGAGCTATGGGAAGAAGAGTGCTGAAGAAGCAGCAGACTTTCTGCTATTGCAACACAGCTAGAGGTGAGGAAGAAACAACATGATTTGAGGCATGGTTTACAAGAGGAACTAATATAAAGAGGCTTCTTGAACCTCTGCCAGATTTGGATATAGTTGAAATCCAAGTACATGTGCAGTTCAGTCAACTAGCACACTGGTTCAACAGATGACACCAACAGCTGTCTCCCTTACCCCCAGAGCACCTAGTATCACTAGTCCCAACCCTCCTGTTCTCTTATAGAGTAGAGGGTTGACCGATAGTACTTCCTTTCATGTGTGTTTTGGCTGTTTTCTCTTTTCATCCGAGATGTTATGCAGATGGATCTTGAGGATCTTCCAGATCCCAGTATTTCTGACAGCTTCACTGAATCTAAGCTGCTATTTAAGCACAGTGAGTTCAACCATGCTATTGTGCGCCCCAAACTCCCAGGTGTGTCCTTAGGCTGCTGTGGCTGTGTCTGAAGCTTCTGTGAAACACAGAATAATCTCATAGGCTGTAGTAGAGATTCACACATATTCCTCTACAAAGTCTCTGAACTCTAGCCCTAATCTAGAAGAACGACGTAAGCAGACAGCCAGGTTTGAATGAATTGGCTGCCAACAGTACAGCTGTATTTATGAATAATTTGCATCAAATCAGGTGTAGACTCACACATGAGAAAAAATAGCTACACAGTTACATGTAAGAAGAACATTGTCAGCTTTTTCTGAGGTGAGTCTTGATTATAGTAGGATTGAATGGTTTAACAAACCTAACCATTGAATAGAGGGCTATGGTTCAGAAATTGCTGGTCTGACCCCAGTTCCTAGTGGTAGAGACAGATTGTAGGTAGTTTAACCTAGAAATCTTGGTGTTATATATGCAAATGTTATCACAAACCATTGGTGTAGAAATTCCAGGTCCATTTCTACAGGAGCTACATTATTTCTGCTCAGAGAATCACCAGCTTCATGTTTGTTATTTGTTCCGGATGGGCTCAGGATTCGGCAATAATCACGCAGAACGAGGTGACTACATTGAGCATCTATTCAGGTGAAAGCACATAAAAGAAGCAAAGTATGAATAACTACTCACAAGGTGATACCTGCCGGCAGGATACTGGACTCGAACATCCTCTCGAGCTGGCAGATCAGAGAGAGAGAGTTGCTGACTGGCTCCCGTGGAGACCCAGCCCTCATTATTCCTGAGCGTTGCTTGGCCGCCTGGACCACGCGGACGTTGTATCGGTGTGCTAGCTGGTGTAATACTTGTGTTGGTTTCCCATCAATTTCCTGTCTATCAATGCCCTTCTGTAAAAGCAGAC